AATCCAGCCTAAATCGCAGGCCGAATGGTTTACTGAACAGTCATAAACTGTCATTGTGATGGAAACGCAGCGGAGTGCAGTGATGACAGCGCGGTGCGGGCCACATTGCAAGGCCTGGCGGGACGGATTTGGCCCGCGGGCCTTGTGTTTGACACATGTGGTCTAGAGCAGTGGTTGGCAGACTCATTAGTCAACAGAGCCAAATATCAATAATACAATGATTGAAATTTCTTCTGAAAGCCAAATTTTTTCAACTTAAACTTCTTCTAACGCCACTTCTTCAACATAGACTCGCCCAGGCTGTGGTATTTTGTGGAAGAGCCACACTCAAGGGGCCAAAGAGCCGCATGTGGCTCTTGAGCTGCAGTTTGCCAACCACAGTCCTAGAGGGAGAAAAATGTCAGAGGGTCTGAGCTGGGGCTGTTGTGCTGTCTCCCACCCCACCGCATGGCCTCCCCACAGCTTGAAGGCAGGGAGGGGTGTGCGAGGCGCTATGTTGAGAGACCCTGGACCCCTGTGTGGTTCCTTCCTCCTCTCGCTAGTGGAAGCTGACAGCCACAGAAGCTGGTTCAGGATCACACTTCAGCTTCCCTCTTTTTTCACTAGACACCACAGCTGGAGGAAAATGGGAGTCAGGGAGCCATGCCACACAATGGTTAGGGACATGGTCTTCGAAGTCAGAAAATCCTGAGTCTGAGTTTAAATTCCACCTTTTACCCAGTGTCTGGAGCCAGTCCCCTAACCTGTCCAAGCTCTATGTCTGCATTGAGAAAGCGAGGATCGGGATAGGACCTACCGGAGGGCTGCCGAGATGAACTGAGCGGATGTGCCCAAGGGCTCACCAGGGCCTGCAGAGGTCAGCTTGGTAAACGTTAGTGGCCTGTGAGTCCAGGCTTGCGGGGCTCCACCTTCTCCCCATCAACTGCTTTTTCTAGTGCACTCACAGGCCGCCCCGGCTGCTGGCGGGAGGGGGCAGCAGAGGCCACGCTGAGCTGCCTCCTCTGGGGTTTTCTGGGGAGCCCAGAGACGAATGGAGGAGAAAGAAACTTTAAACTTTAGCCCTCACCAGGGCCACTTGGGAATCTGTAAAGACTGCGGATTCCTGGGAACCCCCTCCAGAGATTCTAACCCCATGGATCTCCAGGCCCTGCCCCACTCTGAGCTCTGCAGTTGGAGCGGACCACCCAAGTATTCCAATGAGGGCGGTTTGGGGGCTGCACTCTGGGAACCGCTGTCAGAAGCGAAGCCACGGGCTCAGGGGCCTTCTGACCTGGAGGTTAGGAGATCCTGGGGATGAGTCCTCCTCAGAGCCCCAGACTCAACTCCAAATTCCATCTCTTGAGCCCCACAGATGCCACCCTCCTCCCCGGGAAGGGAGAGAACGCCCAAGTGTGTCACACCAGAAGATTGGGGGGGGGGGGGGGGCGCGTTTCAGTGGTTCCCAAAGTGGGTGCTGATAGGAAGTGCCTGAGCAGGACGCCTTGTCGAAAACGGCACCTGGTATGCAGCCAGCCACCTGCTCACACCTACAGCAGCCAATCTTTTGGGGGAGGAGGGAGAGACATGTGTGGGTCACACGGCCACTCCTGTTAGTGCCACCCCCTCCCCCAAAGGTCCTTGAAGACAGCATTATCAGAGATAAGAAAACCGAGGCTCGGAGGTGACTTGGATGGCTTGTTTAGGTGGCCCAGACTCTAGCTCCGCATTTCCAGTCCCCTGAGAGAGCCTGCTATTGGGGCACTGACAGGCGGGGAGCCAGGCTTTGGGGCCACAGCGATGCCTTACCATCCCCAGGCCCCCAGGCCCAAAGGGAGAAGAAAACGAGACACCGCGGAGCTCAGGCGTTTTCCCATCAGAAAAGGGCACCCAGAGTGTCTTCCAGCGGATCCCGCTGTCCCCGCGCCTGCGTCCAACGTGGGCCCTGGGAGTGAGCTCCAGGCGGCGGTGGCCTGGCCGCTGGGACTGCAGTTCTGTCCACCTAGGCCTGGGGAGCCCCGAGGCCTCGCTGGGGCGCTTCTGCTGCCAGAGAGTGCAACGGGCGGGCGGGCAGGCTGCTGAAGCTCAGGTGCTCCCAGGGCTTCGGCCCCTCGTGGAAACCGCGGAATCTGCGGGATTTGTGATCCAGGAAGGGAAACCCAGTCGCATACATCCTAGCTACTTCCCTGCCTCTGGGCCTTTTATTATCAAAGAGGGGTGGAACTGCATACATTTAGGGGTGGAATTGCATACATTTAGGGCGTGTTAAGGGCTGCATTGTTCCAAGACAAACTTCCTAAAAGCGGCAGCGCAAAAATTTTTAATGGATCCTGTGGAGGATGTCCCTCTGCTAGAAGGATTCCCACGTGTGCCCACAGGGCCAGTGGTTTTGCACCGGACTCAAAGGAGCCTTTGCACTATAAGCTTGTCGTTTGCACGTGACGGTCACCCTTCTATCGCAGCGCACGACAGCGGGAGCTTCGCCCTGCAGCCCCTGATGCGAGCCCAGGCCGAAGTGGGCCTTGGAGACCCAGCGCAGGCGAGTGAGTTCTGTCCTGCGCGGCAGCAGTGGCGGCGGCAGCGGCGGCGGCGGTGTGAAATCTCGGATGAGGGTGTGGAGGCAATTCTGCCTTCGGAATCTGGCCGTCTCAGGTTTGCCAGGAGCCAGCTCCCCTCGCGGGAAAGGCTGCACTTTTCTGTCACCCCCCAGGCCCCAAGTCAAGCCGGGAAAACGGCAAGTAGGCCCATCCCAGGGCTCCGGGAGGTTTTCCTGCACCCCGGATGGGGACGCGCTGGGAGATCCCACCGAACTGCAGGCGCCACCGGGCAATGAAGGGAAGCCGCGAGCCGCTGCCGCCCTGGAATCTGGCACCGCTGGGGCGCCAACGCCACGCACCGCGGGACGCACCTCGGCCGCTGGCTGGCGCGCCAAGGTCCGAGGGCGTGGGCAAGGGGTCTGGAGAGGCCGCAGGAGCCCGGGGAGCGCCGGCGGAGCTGGCATTGGGTTTCTCCTAATCAGCCCGGCTTCCCCGGAGCGGAGCCTCCGACCTAATTGGGGCGCAGCCTCCGGGAGGGAGGAGGCCCGCCTCGCCTGCGGAGGAGGTTGTCTGGGTGAAAGCGCAAAGTTCCTGCGCTGGAGATCTGGGGGCTATTCTCTGTTTTTTTGTTTTGTTTTGTTTTTGTTTTGTTTTTCCCTGGGCGCCCGTGGGAGGCGAGGGAGAGGAGAGATGGTTCCTTCGGGAGAGCAGCGCCTTCTCCATCGCAGAGACCTTCCTCTCGGAGCGCAAGGCCAACTCGCGCCGCCGGCGACAGCGCGCTTCGCCCTAGACCCAGCAGCCGCCGCCGCTGCGCCTGCCCGGGACCCCGGGGGACACTGAGTCACCAGCCTTTTCCTGTCCCCTTTATCTCCCATTTATAGACAGCTGTTAGGTTGGGACATTAATTGCCCGGGCCGAGTTTATTGATAATTCTGATGTAACAGAGCACCGGAGAAATTACCCTCACGTCCAACATGTCAACTTTGAGAAGAGCCAGGTTCAGAAGAACTGCGGTGGGTCCTGAGCGGCCGCCGCACCGACAATGCGACTTTATTGTGTTTGTTTTCCCAAATAGCGGGGATGGGAATAGAGAGAGGGTGATCGGCCGAAGACACGGGCTCTTAGAAATGTCCTCTGGTCCCTGAGGGTAGAGAGGGACACGCTCAGGGACTGGAAACATGCCTATCCCCGTGCTCTCCCACCAGCAGCATTTTTTTGCGCCCATTTTACTCGATTCCTGATTTGGGAAAAACAAGTGTAGGGCACCCAAGAAATAAAAAAAACAACTACAAAACCACAGAGTTCTTTCATGATGTATAACCGCTGGAATATTGGAACGGTAAAGTCTGAAATTCAAAGTAAAACTTTCATTGGTCTTGGAATGGGAAAAAATATAGTTTTTATATATTTATGTATATTTTACATATATATGATCTTCCCTGGGAGAAGGACTCTAGTTTTTCTTCAAACGTTTATTTCTTTAAAAAGAGAAATGACATTTAGAGGGGCAAAGGGCTCTTCTTAAAAAACAGAAGCCAAGAAAAATAGTTCTTCGTGTCCAGATTTCACTTCCATGTGGAATGAAGAGTGAAAAGGAGAGGATTAGCAAATAAATAAATAAATAAATAAAAATAAAGAAAAAGAAAAAAGTATTGAGAATCTCCCATATTTTAAATACAAAAATAAAATAAAATAAAAAGTCTAACTATCCCAGGCTGGTTTCTGTCTATATTTGGGGTGGAAGATATTCTGCAATCCCAATGAAATACTCATGCGATTTTATTTCTAGTTGATACAATGTTAAAGGCCATGTACAAATGTTATACATTTTTATTTTTGTTCTTTTTTTAGGAAAAAAAATACACAAAAGGCAACACATCCTCAAATTGTCATTTTATACAGTGCAGAAGGAAATTTAAAATACGTGTCACAAACGCTGCACCCCAGCAGCCAAAATACTAGGGAAAAAGGAGGGGTAGTCCTTCATTTTATATATATATTTATATAAAACATATGGGGATTTGTTTTTACACACATTGGACTTTGTTTCAAATTTACAATGGATAATCTAAAAAAAAATTCTACGCGGCAAATATTGCCAACAACGTTACACCATTAATACTGATAAACGGAGGAGCCTATGCGGTGTTTCGATTACTAGGGAAAGAAAGAATAAATAACAGGATGAGCCTTGCTATAGTTTTAAAAAGTGCCTTAACCTTTCTGCATCGCGCAATCCTGAATCCGCACGCTGGCCGGCCTCCGGTCCCGTGTCCGGCCGTGTATACGCCGCTTTCGCACCAGTTTACAGTAGAGGTCGGGAGACAGCGGGTCTCGGGAGAAAAACACCCTCCAAAAAACTACATGTAACATTGGAAACAAAACCAAAAAGACTGCAGGGAAGGAAGAAGAGGAAGGCAGAGGGGGGTGGCAGAGGCCCCGAGAGCCGCCTGATTCTGGGCTCCATTGGTTTCTTTTTTTAAAGAAAAAAAACAACAACAAACGAACAGTGGCTTCAGAAACACACAAGTCCTATGCACAGAGATCCACCTGCGGCTGCAGAGCTTCCGAGGTGGGGAGGAGAGCTCGGCCTCTCGCCCCCCCCCCTTCTCTGCAAAACGCGGCTCGGCTCTACCACGCGACTTGCGCATTCCAAGACATTCTTCCCAAGGAAAGTTAAAAATAACAACGATAAATACTCAGCCCGCCCCCCAAATAAAAGCATTTGATAATGACGGTCTCCTACGTTTGTCTTTCTTCTAAAAAAAAATCTCCCCCCTTGACTTTTTCCATTAAAGGGTTAAGGGTGGGGGAGAGACCTCAGCAGAATTTTTGTTTAGATGTTGAGGGTTTTCCCCCAACACAGCACCTTCTCAGCCGGTTTTAATCGGATCGAAAAGAAGACATTTATTTACCAACAGCTGCAGTCAGATGAGGCCTGGACGCCACTACCGTTCGTTTTTAAAATATTTTGAGGGAACAGGAGAGGAGGTGCCGACCTCTATGCCGCTTCTTTGCCCTGGGGGTGCCTTTTGCAATAATCCGGTTGAGGAGGGGGTCAAACCCTTTTTTTCTTCTGCCGATGGTTATACCTCGAGAAATGAAGCAGTTTCTAGGGATGGGTCCGGGGCTCCGGCGGCGATGGCCGCGCAGAAGGACCCGCAGGCTCCCGGCTCACATCACGCAGGGCTTGATGTCTTGGTAGGTGACCTGCTGGTGGTAGTAGGAGCCGCCACCCGCAGAGTGCATGGAGGAGGACGCCATGGTGTTGAAAGAGAAGACAAACTCCTTTCGGTCACACATGCTGGGCGACTGCGAGTGATACCGGGGGATGCCTGTGAGGGAGGTAACAAGGGGCCAGAGTTCAAGATGGAGAAGCCTTCTGCCCCACTGAGCTCTGGACATGGGGGCCCTGTCCTCCCCACTTTCCACACGCCCATGAACAGAGTCCCCGAGTTCCCAGCCCTGTCTGGGCCCTGGGCTTGTGCGCCCCAGGGGATGATCCTGGGACACCAGGACACGTCCCTGCCTCCGGGAGCACTCTCTGCCTGGGCCTGCACCCGCTATGGACACAGAGGCTGGCTGGGGGGCTTCCGACACCTAAAAGGAAGAGGTGGGGTGGAGGCCCCCAACGGGTCTGCAGACTTCGCGGAGGGCTCTGGCGGCCTCCACCTCCCAGGCGGGCGGCCTGGCGCCAGGGCAGCCACTTCCCCAGCTCAGGCTGCGGAGGCCTCAGTGCAGCCAGAGGCGGGCGCTGGGAGCAAGAAGCACAGGGCCATCACGGAGTGAGGGGGGCTTCTCTGGAGGAAGCCCCTGTTGGAGAACAGGGCCACCCGGCCAGCCAGAGCCCCGGAGTTTGAAGCAGCCCAAGCAAGGCAACCCCAGAGCCCTCCAGAGAAGTGGCCTTTCAGCCACCAGGCCCGGCTCCTGCCTCCCACTGGAGGCTGCTGACAGCTGACCCCTGAGAGGCCCCTGCTAAGCTCCCTCCAAGCTCCTGCCAGAACAAGGCGGGAGTTCAGGGAGGGAGGTTTTTCTCATCTTCTTCCTGAGAGCTGGGGAGAGGGCACCCGAGGACCCCAGAACCTGGGTCCTGAGAAACAAAGGGTCTGTCTGCGGGGCCTGCAGCTCCAATCCCCGCTCTGGGCCTGGCACAGACCCTCCTTTCTGCCTGTGTCACCGCGAATGCCCCCAGCTCAACAGTCACAACGCCAGGCCCGGTCCTTGGAAAGGCCAGGGCGCCGGGCCTCTGCGCACCAGTCCCAGGCAGTGCTGGGCCTAACCCTTCTGTTCGGCCAGGACAAGGAGCGGAGGCCGGCGACTCTCTGGCCGCTCTCTGACCGACCACCCCCCTAGGGGGAGCCGGCTGGCCAGGCTGGACCCCATCTCCATCCTGGGAACTTGCTGAGGTGTGAGGGGGCCTAAGGGACCAGGAGCAACGTAGGAAATTTGGATCCGAGCCTTTTGGTGGGACCTGGCCGTGCTCCCGAAGGAAAAGAAAATGAGAAATGACATGTTGACCCAAATCAGGACCTAAGTTGCCTTCACCCCCTCAACGGCGAGGGGTGGGGCTGAGGGACACCCCAGTGTGGGGAGGGCACCCAACAGAAGTGGCTGCAGGCTCTAAGGGCTGTCAGCAAACCGGGGTGCTGGGCCCACGCAGCGCACTCACAGATGCCCGGCTTCCCCGGGACATGGACCGCCCTGGCTCCCCACTCACCTTGCAGCTCCGCTGGGGCATTGTGGCTGTTCTGGTGCAGATAGGGCTGGTCCAGGGAGTGTGTGGAGAGGCTGCCGGACAGGGGGTTCGCTGCGGGATTGCAGGGGGACAGGGGCTGCTGCTTGATGTAGGAGGCGCCGCTGTTGAGCGCAGCGGAGGCCGAGGGCGGCCAGGCAGCCGCGGAGCCCGAGTAGACGGCGTGCGGCTCCATGACCCCGCCGGCGGCGGCGGGCAGCAGCGGGGAAGCGGGCACCGAGCCGTCGTGGTGAGGGTACTCGCCGGCCGCCCCACCGCCGCAGCTGCCCATGTATGAGTGGCCGCCATTGGCGGGCAGGTGGGGCACCGAGTGGCCGGGCAGAGCCATGCCGTCCACGTTGCCCGGCAAGTGCCCGTTCATCATGCCCAGGCCGCCCTCGAGCGCCAGGCTGTTGGGCGGGCACGAGAGGCCGCCGGCCGAGCTCTGGAAGCCGTAGGTGTCCGGGAGGTGGTTGAAGCCCAGCCCGTTCATCATGCTGTACATGGGCTTGAGCGCCTGGCATTTCCTTCGGAAGCCGCGGGGCCGCCGCCGAAAGGAGCCCTCCTCGAACATGAACTCGCTGGCCGGGTCGATGGTCCAGTAGTGGCCCTTGCCCGGCCGGCCCAGGCCCTTGGGCAACTTGATGAAGCACTCGTTGAGCGAGAGGTTGTGGCGCACGGAGTTCTTCCAGCCCTGGTAGGAGCCGCGGAAGAAGGGGAAGCGGCTCTGCAGGAACTGGTAGATCTCGCTGAGCGTCAGGCGCTTGGTGGGCGAGCTCTGGATGGCCATGACGATGAGCGCGATGTAGGAGTAGGGCGGCTTCTCCGGGCGCCGGATGCCGGCGTTGGTCTTCTTGGCCTTGGACGGGCCGGACGACGCGGGGTCCATGGCCGCGCCGCCGCCTCCTCCGCCGCCGCCGCCGCCAACGCCGCCGCCGCCGCCGCCGCCGCCGCCGCCGTGCGGTGGCTGCTGCTTCTCGGGCGCCGAAGACATCGGGTGGCTGCTGCCGCCGCCGCCGCTGCCGCCGCTGCTCTGCGCCGCCGGCCAGCGGGGAGGAGGAGGAGGAGGAGGAGGAAGAGGAGGAGGGGGGGCAGGGCGAGGGGGAGGGGGCTGCGCGCGCGGGGCTGGCTGCACCTCTGCCGTCATCGGCCACTGCTCCCGAGCGAGCCCGGCGCGCCCTCCCCCGCCCGCCCGCCCGCCGGCTCGTCCTCCCCGAGGAGCTGCTGGAGCGGCCGGTGGTTGGCGCAGAACCCCCTCTCTGTCCAGTCCCTCCTCCCCCACCTCTATCTCCTCCCTCTTTCCCTCTTGCCCTCCCACAAGGGAAGGAGCCCAACGGAGGCTGAGGGCAGCCTCTTGGCAGCAGGGGCGGAGGCTGCGGGACCCCCCCCTCACCACACACACACACACACACACACACACACACACACACACCGGTGTTTTAGTGGAGGCACCGACTCCGTGCGCCCCCGCGGGGAGCGGCGCTGGGTCCCCGCCGCCCGCAGCGCGCGGCTCCGCGGCTCCAGCGGAGGGAGGCCGTCCTCCCCGGACCTCCTCCCGGCAGCGCCTCCGGGGCCGTGTAAGACCCTTTGCCGGGCGTCTCCTCCCCGCCCCGCTCGCTCCGGCCCCCACGTAGGTGGGCGCTCACAGGGCCCCCACCCTCGCCGCCCAGCGGCCGCCGGCAGGACCCGCCCCGCCTCCACCGACCTGGCGAGCGAGGGTTACTGCGCTCTCCGCCCGCGGGGCAGCCCCGCCGCGCGCCCGCCCCCCGCCTCCCCTGCCCGGGCGGCGCCTCCCAGGGACACGCGCCCCGGGGCCCGGGCCCTCCCCGCCAGGTACAGACCCGGGGCAGGTCCCCACGGCGGCGTCGGCGGCGGCCTCCGGATCGTGGCCATCCCGGCGCAGTGGGCTCGGCGGTCCCCGAGGCCGGCGGGCGTGGGTTCCCGCGAGGGCCCGCCTCCCCGCTCTCCCCGCCCCGGGAAGGACTGCGCAGCGCCCGGGACTGTTCGGACTCTCCCGGCAGCAGCTAGCGGGCTGGCCGGCGGGCCACGGCCCGGCCGAGCGAAGGCGGAAAACGAAAGTGAGCGCGGGTCGCTGCAGCTTTTGTCTCCGGCTCTGCGCGGCCAGACAGGAGCGAGGGAAGAAGGCTGGTCTTGGGGGATCAAATCCTACAGGCTCCCAGAGCAAGCGACCTCGCTCATTCCCTCCCTCATGCACACACATGTGCAAGCCTTGATGCACACGCAAACCCGGTAAATGACTGGACTCACATGTGTAATCTCTCTTCTCTCCTATTTGTGCGTTACTCATGCACTCGGCCTGTGCGTGCCCACTAATGCGCGCACTCACGAACACACAATAGGCCCATAGGAACTCACATTTCACAACTCACCCTCACATGTGCATTAGCCACGCTGGGGTCTGAACCCACTCGTAGTTCAGTGGACTCCCCCCGCCCGCCCCACCCCTCCCACACGGTGAAAACCCTATTATCTGGCCCCGCAGCCCTGATGTGTCCCCACTTTCCAAGCGCAGGTTCCGACTTCCCATGGATGGTGAAGGCCCTGGCAGGAAGTTTATGTGGCTCAATGTAAACATGTTCGGAGGGATTCTTTAATAATAATAATAGAGGATTCCGCGTGCGCGGGCGGGGCGGGGGGAGTTGGCCTACTGCCCCTGTGGGCCGGCCTGCCGCCGCCGCGACGGGGCCTCTGCCTCTGTGCGCCCGGCCAGGTTCCGGAGGAGAGCCGTCTGCGCGGGCGGGGAGCGCAGGCTCCGGCGGCCCCGGAGCGCCAGGCTGCCCGCAGCAGGGGTCTCGCACGCACTCCTCCTCCCCCTCTTCCCCGCTCCAACGTCCCGGCACCGGCACCGGGGTGTGGGCCAGGACTGGCGAGGAGGGGCGGCGGCGCCCAATGCAGTTCCGCGCAGGAGCCCCAGCCCGAGGGACCCGGCACCCAGGGACCCAGGTGAGTGCCGCTGTCGCGCAGACTGGGGCACCAGGCTCGGCCTCTGCCGCTGGGGCCTTGGGTCTGGTGGAGGGAGACCAGGGGCGTTTTTTTGCGGGTCATCACGAAGAGCCAAGATGCAGTTTCCTGGCTGGAGCTGGGGTGAGGGGCTTGCGCCTGGCTCAGACAGCGGGCCGGCGCCGCTGTTCAAAGCCCACCGACCTCTCCGTTTCTCTGGCCTCCTGGTCTCCTGCGGAGGCCCCTCATTCGCTGTCTGGTAGACTCCTCGTCGCCTTCAGGGCGCCTGGCACGTCCTTGAGGGGAGCTGGGGGCTCGCTGGCTGGCGTTGTTTGGCTAACAGTCACCGCCTGATCCAGCGGAGCCGCACTCTTGGAGGCGGGAGAACCACTGTCCCTGCCCTGAGCTTCCCCCTGGCTCTCTCCGCCTAGGCTCTGAGCAGGCAGCCAGCCTATCTAGCCTGGGGAAAGGATGAGGGTAGGAAGTGATTGCGTTACGCGTCATGCGTCCAGTCCTAGTATTTTCACACAGGTAGTCGCAGATGCACAGAGGCAGACCCACCTCCTCTTCTCTGGGCCCAGAGAGCACCCATAGACCACAGACATCCTCCACACCTCGCCTGCCTCCAGGACACCCCCCCTTCACACACACACACAGCTCAGGTGCCCCATCTCTCACAGACGCATAGGCCTGTCCACCGCTGAGGACACCCTTTATTTAGGTTAAGACGCTCCCCAGCACTGCCTGTCCTCCCACGCACAGCCAGCCGCATATGCACCGCAATGGCACGCACTGCGCTCTGCGTGTGCAGGGACCCCGGCACATCCTCTCCATCACTTTTTTTTCCTCTGCCAAACGGCAGCTGCAGGCGAGGAGGCCCAGGCAGCGCTGGGAGGGAAGCTCCTGAGAAGGGGTCGCCACCACCAGCTGCTGGGAGTACATCTGGCCTTTGCAGAAGCAAGCGGGGGAGGCTGCTGCTGGAAAGCCATCCAGGGGTGCAGCACTCCCCAGGGCTCCACCTCCACCGACTGGAGCCTCCAAAGTTTCCAGGGGCCCTCTTTCCTCTGAAGTCCTCTCCCGGTGGGAGGGGATGCAAGTTGCATCTTGGCGAACCCCCAGAGCAGGCTTCCTCTCTCCTACACAGCCAACCTCTTGCCAGCTCTGCTTGGGGGCCCCTAAGTGTTTTGGGGTGGGTGAGCTTATGCCTTCGTGAGCCAGAAGTGTGAGGTGAGACTCCACCTGGCCTCCACTTAGCCTGCAGGTTCTGACAACAAACCAGGCTCTGCAGAGGAAGGACAGCGGTTACAGTACTTTGCCCACGGAGCAGGGTCCCAGTGGGTTCGGAGCCTCAGAAATGTAGCAGATGGAGGTTCCTCCCGTCCTCACATCTGCACCCCGACAGGACACAAAAGTGGGGGCATGAGAAGGAAGGGAGGAGGAATGAGCTCCTAGATCTGTAATTTGGGGTGAAACCCCCCTCAAATCTGGGGGAAACCACAGCCAATGTAAGGAGGGCTTTTTCACATGCCCAGGAACTAAGCTCTTATCTCTTAAGATGCCCCACCTCAGTTTGCAATTTTAGGTTGGGGAAACTGAGGCACAGGGAGGCCCTGGGTCAGCCAGGGCTGACCAGCAAACATCTCTTCATCTTGCCTCTCCACCCGCAAGAACAGACTGTCATTTCGGTTGACCCTCCCAGATGCCTCTCTGAGGCCGCAACTGCCCAGGGTGGGATTCAGAAATGCTCCACCTCTGGCATGCCTGGCTCCCTAGGCCCCAGGGCCCCCGGAGACCTGGTGGAGAGCTGACGGTGATAAAAATAACAAGCACCACAAACAGTGTCAGCAGGTCTTCTCAACTCTGATCATGCCCAAGTACTGCTCATCACCTTTTAACACCCCTGGGTGTTCTCTGGGCTGAGGGTCCCTTTGGCCAACTGTTGAAAATTACATCCACACCCCCCCCCCCCCACACACACACAGAAGGCACATACATTTGTGGAATGGTTTTCAAGGTTTCGCCAAACATTTTGAATCCATGGGTGGGAGCCAACCATGAACCCAGGCCCCAAAGATACTTGTTTAATCGCCACAGAAGTCCCACCTTTTACAGATGGGGCTCAGTGAGAATACACTGGTCCTGGCTCACCTTGGGTTCCGTTGGTGCCAAAGGGTGAGGGTCAGCGGTATGGTCGGAGCAAAGACCCTTTGCCTGCAGATTTGAAATCATGGTCAGGATTTGAACCCATCCTCCCCAGTGTAGGGATGTTGCATGAGCTGTTTGTGCCTTAGTTTCACTTTGGGGTGGAGGGGGCGGCTGCGGAGGAGTTGTTATTGGTTTATTTCTGCCCCAGCTTTTTTATTGATATAGAAATCAAACATAACCTTGCTATGTTTAAGGTATATGATGTGCTGATTTAGCCTATTTATATGTTGCAAAATGATTACCACAATAAAGTTAGCGGCCACCTCTACTCCTTCCATACAGTTAATGTGTGTGTGTGGTGATTGCATTTAAGAACTACTCCGTTAGCAACGTTCAAGGATATGATACAGTATTATTAGATGTAATCACCAGGCTGTAGCTTAGTTTCTTCATCTAAAAAGGGGGACGAATAATCGCACCTTTTCTTTTGGGCTGCTGGGAGCGTTGGACAAGACTGTGCAGAGACAGACTTAGGCTATCCAGACAGACAAACAAACAAAATCGGCTTGAGGAGCAGTCGGAGAAAATGCAGACTGGGACGTGGCAGCTTTTTGCTCTTAGCCGAAAGCGCCATAAAGACCCCCCTCCCGCACCAACCAAATCCAATGTGCTCCCCAGCCCTGCGCCAGCCCCAGGAATCCCGAGATGGGGGCGGGGGTGTAAAAACAGACACGCCTGCCATGACTCCCACTCCCCAAACCCAAGGTATTTTTACTGGCTAATTGCTTAAGTGAAGCCGCCCGGGCGGAGAGCGCGCAGTAACCCGAGCAGGGAACCAGATCCTGCTCCGATTGTGCCCGGGCTGGCCTCAGGGGCGGGGGCAGAGGCAGCCGCGGACCACCCACCGCGAGGGCGGCCGCCTCGCCCGCTGCGCCCCTGCTCTGCATTAGCGCCTGGCCAGCACCCCCCTGCCCTGCTCCCTCCATCCCTTCCAGAGGACGTCCAAAGGCGACCCAAGGTAGTGCGGGCTGGCCCCCAAAGCCCTGGCAGGTCCTGGGCAGTGAGGGAAGCAGGCTGGCCAGGGGATATCGGTAGGGAGGCTGGAGGGATGGGTGGGACATCTATGGGTGAAAATGCAACCTGCAGACAAGGGACTTTGGGGAGAAACGTCAAAGTCAGGAGGAGAGAGGGCATTCTTCTCCCTCAATCATAACATGATCTGCGCACAGAAGGGGGATCTTTCTCTGCAAACTCTGGATGTGCACACACATCACCATGCCAGTCTGTAGAGGGGCAGGACTGTGGGACTGAGTAGTGTCTGGCAGGCACGACAGTGTCAGGTGGGTGCCAGGATGAGGGCTGTGCACAGAACAGCTGAAATACACAAATATGACTCATTTGCTGCACTGAACACTAGAGGATGTAAGTACTGTGTGGTGTCTTCGTGTGCAATTAGTATTTTAAGACGTGAACAATATAGCATATTATATGTGCAGAATATTCACAGGCAGTATGAGGGGGCCGTATACAGATCTTTACAGAGTGAGGTTAGAATAGCCAGTTATGTGCATGGGATGGTTGGAAGGTGTGTACAATGCACTGTATTCCAGACACAGAATATTGTGGGCTCTGAAGAGAAGAGAATATGGAATTCGATTGACGGTTGTAGGTTATGCGTATGATATAAAGGGGTGTATTTACATGATATATATTGGATTTACACGAACATTGTAAAATGTGTACAATTTGATGCCTCTGGGCCCAGAGCATCATGGGAAATGTGTTCACAGTGCATCTGGGTACAGCCAGTTCGGAGGAGAGGGGTCTACCCTGGGGAGCTCAGTCCCCCCAGACTCCAGGCAGCGTGTTTGCAGCAGAGGAAGGCTGTCAGGAAGTCTGAGTGAATCTAATACGCGGTAACAGAAATGCAGAGACCACTCAGCTAACGGTTATTGAAGCCTGACTGTGTGCTCTTCTGAGGCCCCTCAAGGTAATTACTAGCTCATGCAGCTCTGGCCATACCAGGCTCCAGGGAAGCCAAGGTCCCAGGAAGCCAAGCGGCTCTCCTACAGATTTTTGTAGCTTTGGAGCACGTTAC